CTCGGTGTTTCTCTGCGTGATAGACTCAGAAATGAGGATATCCGCAGTAAAACCAGAGTGACCGACATAGCCCAACGGATTAGTAAGCTGAAGTGGCAATGGGCCGGCCATATAGCTCGAAGAACCGATAACCGATGGGGAAGAAAGGTTCTCGAGTGGCAGCCTCGTACCGGTAGGCGTAGTGTAGGGCGACCCCCCACTAGATGGAGTGACGACCTGGTAAGACATGCAGGAAGTCGATGGATGCAGGTGGCTCAGGACCGTGCTTTGTGGCATTACTTGGGGGAGGCCTATGTTCAGCAGTGGACTTGTGAAGGGCTGTAATGATGATGATGATGACTAAGTAAGTACGTATGTGTTGTTTTGTCTTTTTATAATTTTGTTAACGAAATTGTCTATATTTGCTAGTTGTGGTAGCTTAGGGCCTAGGCGCTCATAAATTTCACAGCACGCGAGCAACCCGGGTTGGATCCTCGCCGGCACCAAAGAAATTATTAATTGGAATTTAAGTGTTGATTTACCACATGCTCGGCGGTTAAGGGAAACATAGTTAGCCTGCATGTCTGAGAAATAATAAAAAAAATATTTTGAAGATATGTGAAGTTCGTCAACAGGCATTGGGGCAGCGCGGCGGACATTTCCTTGTCCTAAAACGCTCTCAGAAATGAAAGGAGGTCTGTGCCCAGCTGTGGGACGTAAAAGATGTATCTTTAGCTTTTCTCAGTATATTTACGAACTATAAACCGCATTAATTTTCTTGATTAACATTTACACATTACACAAGTAAAAATAACAAGTGAATGTAACTTCTTGTCGATTTTTTTAGTGTATTGTAGTGATAACTTTTTAAATTAGCTATTTGTTAGGTTAACCTTTACACTATACACTAAGTAGATAACAAGGGAAGGGATCTTCGATAATTTCTTTTAGTGTATAGGTGGAAGTCCCGTAACACCGGACGGCACCTAGCGCCGGACACTCGTTCTATTTTAAGCGAGTATAAATCTGTTCGATTCAAAGAATCGATCTGTTCGATACAAGTGAAAGGGGCGCGGGGGGCACACAGGTACAGGTTCACGCTAGGGATGATCGATGTTACAGAAACATCGATTATGACATCGATGTTGATATCGATAGCTTTACATCGATGTTCGATGTTTATCCTACTCAAAACATCGATGTTGGCCATCATCGATGTTATAGCACATGTATCTATTTAGTAGGTTAAAATAAGATGTGCAAAAAATTTGTAGTGTCGTTTCTGGTTTATTATTTATTTATGAAATTAAAGACATTAATAACACATTCATTGTGAAACAGTAATTTAAAAAATGGGAAAAACTTAACAAATATTTAGTTAATTTGTTATATTTTTTGCCGATAATGATGAATATTATTATTTTGATATTTAAATGTTCCTATACAATTATAAATCTAGTATTAAAATATTTACTCTACTAATGGTCACACAATTTTTTTTTTTTTTTTATAGAAGAGGGGGGCAAACGAGCATGTGGCTCACCTGATGTTAAGTGACTACTGCCGCCCATGATCAACTGCAACACCAGGGGAATTGCAGACGCGTTGCCGGTCCTTTAGAAAGGAGTAAGCTCTTTTCTTGAAGGTCCCCAGGTCGTATCGGTCCGGAAAAATCGCTGGTGGTAAACTATTCCACAGAGAGGTTGTACGCGGAAGAAAACTCCTTTTGAAACGTACAGTGGTGGACCGCCAAGCATCCAGATGGTGTGGATGGTATCGGGACGTTTGCTGCGTAGTGCGTTCACGAAATTTGGCGGCTGGGATTAATCCGAACAATTCCTCAGAGCACTCTCCATGGTATATGCGAAAGAAAATGCAAAGGGATGCAACATCTCTTCGCAGTGCCAGAGAATCGAGCCGATCGGAAAGCACTCGGTCGTCGACGATTCGAGCCGCTCTGCGCTGGATGTGGTCAAGTGGAAGGAGCTGCTACTGGGGAGCCCCAGCCCAGAGATGGGAACAGTATTCCATGTGCGGCCGAACCTGCGCCTTGTAAAGTTGCAGGCGGTGTGCCGGCATGAAATACTGTCCCGCTCTGCTGAGCACGCCAAGCTTTTTAGAGGCCAATTTGGCCTTCCCTTCCAAGTGACCACGAAACTGCACGTCACTCGATATGTCGACGCCGAGGATTCCGATACTGGCTGAGGCAACAAGGGGAGTGCCTTGAAACTGAGGGGATACGACAAAGGGGTTCTTTTTAGCGGTTAACGCGCAAACTTGTGTCTTCTGGGGGTTAAACTGGACTAGATTTAGTCGCCCCCAATCCGAGACTCTGTCCAGCAGAGACTCGACTTCAGACACAAGTTTGTCCCGGCACTCAGAGATGTTTTCCCGAGAAATATTGGCTCGGCCGGTGTAAAGAGCATCACCAGTGCTGTCATCTGCATAGCAATGAATGTTACGGGTCTGCAACATATCATTGATATGCAGAAGAAACAGCGTTGGCGATAGCACGCAGCCCTGTGGAACACCAGCATTAATAGGCTTGCAATCGGAGCTTGCACCGTCTACAACGACCTTGATGCTCCGATCTGCAAGAAAACTGGTGATCCAATCGCATGATTTCTCGGGAAGCCCATAGGAAGGGAGCTTCGAAAGAAGCGCTTTGTGCCAAACCCGATCGAAGGCCTTCGCAATGTCCAATCTAACGGCCAATGCCTCCCCCCTTGGACTCTACTGCCTCCGCCCATCTGTGAGTTAGGTAGACCAGAAGATCACCAGCTGACCTACCACGGCGAAAACCGTATTGGCGGTCACTAATCAGCTGGTGATCCTCAAGGTACCTCATGAGCTGGCAGTTTACAATGGACTCCATTGTTTTGGAGAACAAGGAGGTGATGGCGATAGGCCGGTAGTTGGACGGGTCTGAGCGGTCGCCTTTTTTAGGGATCGGGTGGACGAAAGCCGTCTTGCATGATTTTGGGACTACGCCTAGGGAGTAGGAGTACCGGAAAAAACGCGTTAAAACCGGTGCCAACTCTGGAGCACACGTCCTCAGCACAATTGGGGGGATTCCGTCAGGCCCACTCGACTTGTGGATGTCCAGGGAGAGGAGTGCTTTGCGAACCGAGCGCTGAGTGAACTGCACTTCCGGCATGGAGCACTCACACCGCGGGATGGTTGGCGGCGTACTCCCCCCGTCATCGAGAGTCGAGTTAGACGCAAAGAAAGAGCCTAGAAGATTGGCTTTCTCCTTTGCGGTGTGGGCCAGTGAGTCGTCCTCCCTGTGCAGAGATGGAAGAGATGGCTGACAGAAATTCCCCTGGACAGCCTTGGCGAGAGACCAGAATGTACGGGTTCCAGAAGGAAGACGAACTAGTTTCTCGCCAATTCTGCCTATGTGCTCTGACTTTGCCTTGGCAATGACTCTTTTGAAGGACCTAGAGGCGGAATTATACTTCTTTTTTAGAGCGCTGGTGTTTACATCCCTGGACGCTGATGCCAGCCCAGCGCGTACGTCAGCCCAGGCCTGGTAGCACTCCTGCTTATAGCATGATGCTATTTTACAGGAGCGACCAAACCATGGCTGAGATTTGCCTCCAATGGGCACCACAGAGGAAGGAATAAAAAGTTCCATACCCTGAAGTACCACATCAGCGACAGAATCCGCAACAACGTTGGGATCGTCCGGCGAGAAGCAAACCCGCCCCCAAGGGTAGGATGCAAAGAAAGACCGCATCCCATCCCAATCGGCTGACCTATAGTGCCAAACACGGCGGCAGCCTGCAGAATGCAACCGCGATTTCAGCGTGAGTGGCACCACACTCCGGACAAGACAATGGTCCGAGGAGCCTAAAGGGGCGTCGACGGAAATCTGATATCCGTCCGGGTGAGAGGTCAGCAGAAGGTCCAACAGGGAAGGTGCATGATCCTCCACATCTGGAATCCGCGTAGGCGAAGTAACCAGTTGTGTCAGACCATATGACAAGGCAAAATCATGAACAGATCTCCCCGCATGATCGGTTAAACGTGAACCGAGCCATTCGGCGTGATGGGCGTTAAAGTCGCCGAGAATCACGATCTCTGCGGAGGGGATCTGCTGTAGCAACGAATCTGCAGCCATTTGGACGTGGTCGAAGAGTCGGTCTGTTTCGGCATTACCGCTGTGGGACCTATAGAGGCACCCGTAGATGCGCGGATGGTCGTCGCTGTCTACGCGTAGCCAAAGGATGGACAGGTCCGAACCTTCAAGTCTGCCGAGGCGTCGAGAACAGATGTCCTCTCTGACGTAAACGCAAACTCCAGCCCGCGGCACAAAGGAGTATTCCAATTTTTAATCAGGCAGCCCAGATTCGATGATCATCGAACATCCCTAGTTCACGCGCCGCGCCCGCGCCTCGCCAGTGACGCACACGGCCACGGCGGGAGCAACCGTTTGCTGTTTTAGGCGCGAAATCACGGCGTCACCTAAATATCAATGTAAGTAATTCTAGTATATTCATCATTGCATTTACATTTGAGTGGTTTTCAAAGATAAAAGTAGTACTTGATTGTTATCCGTAAAATGGTAGAATATTATTAGATCTTTTAAACAATTTTAGTAGGTACCACCTAATGAACGAAAATGTCGGTCCCTTAGCACCGGACACTAAGCCGTCCCTTAGCGCCGGACAGTAAACATATTGATATTTCTTGTCAGAATTTACGTCATTTATTCTAATTATTTAATTTTGTTTTAGAGTGTAGAAGAAAGAAGATAATTAAAATGGAAGAGAAGAAAAAGAAAGGATCCTGGGAGCCACAGAGCTTACAAACTGCTATTGATAAGGTTATGTCAAAAGAACTGAGTGTAAGATAAGCTGCAATGCAATACAATATTCCTAAAAGCACTATACATGATAAAATAAAGGCCCTAAACTGAGGAGAAGAAGTAACAATGAAGCCAAAGTTAAGTAGGCACCTTCTCAGCAAAGTATGAGCAAGTCTTGGTTGACCACATTAAAGATTTATCGAATAGATGCATGCCGCTCATGAAAAAGGAGTTTTTAAAATTAGCATACGACTTAGCTGAAGTCATGAATATTCCTCATCGATTTAATAAAGAAAAAGGCAGTGCTGGTAAACATTTTTACTACGACTTCATAAAAAGGCATTCTGAAATTTCGTTGAGAGCACCGGAATCGACAAGCATAATGCGCGCCGTAGGATTTAACAAACCACAAGTGGGTCTATTCTACGACAACCCTGAAAAGCTGATGAAACAGTACAAATTCTCACCCTTAAGAATTTATAACTGTGATGAGACTGGTGTCAGTTGCGTGCACAAACATCAAAAAGTTCTCGCTCCGAAAGCCATCCGTCAAGTAAGTAAGCTCACTTCTGCTGAGACAGGCAAAAACATCACAGTTTTGTTCTGTATGAGTGCTAACGGTCACTAAATGGGGGTACCATTTTTCGTATTTCCTAGGCAAAGAATGAATGAAAGGCTTATGGTGAATGCTCCAGCTGAGAGCATCGTTGTGGCCCAGCCAAAAGGGTGGATGAATAGTGACTTTTTTCCAATATCTAAGAATATTCGTCAAACACACGCAACCAACCAAAGAGAACCCTGTGCTGCTGCTACTGGATGGCCATTGCAGCCACAAGACATTGGCGGTAATCAATTTTTGCAGAGAAAATCATATTCACTTGATGAGTTCACCACCACACAATACGCACAAGCTCCAGCCTCTGGATAGGACATTTATGAATCCATTTAAAGATGCATACAGCCAACGATGGGACTTGTGGATAAGAACAAATGCTGGATGTCAGATAACGGATTACGACATTGCTGGTTTGGTCAAAGAAGCATTTATAAAAGTAGCTCGATTGGATATTGCAGTATCTGGATTCAAATGCATTGGAATCCATCCATTTGACAGACATTTATTTTCTGACCTAGATTATTTGGCTGCAGATATGACCAATATACCACTAGAACAAACATAAACTACATCGAACGCACTAAACAATGAACAAGTTGTCGTGATATCAAACTTAATCATAGAAGAGCAAATGAAAGAATCTGAACAATCTATTAGTGAGCCTATAACCACAAGTCCCAAACCGTCTACAAGTTCTGCTCCCGATCTTGTTCAGATAATCCATAACTTATCACCGTTGCCTGACGCAGCAAAAAAAACGAACAGCAGCTAGAAAAAGAAAGAGTGAACGAAGTGAAATTTTAACTTCATCGCCATACAAAAAAGTGGCAGAAGAAAAAGAAAATGAAAAGAACATGAAAGATAAAAAGAAGGAAATAAGTTTGAAGTAGCAATGGGAGGTAAAGGAAAGCAAACCAAAGGAATTAAAACCAAAGGAAAGAGCGTAGACAAGGGAAAAGAAGCGACAAACGTGAAACCTAAAGGAAAGAAAGGAAGTGAAGTAGAACCATTAACTGAAACATCTAATACAAACATAATAATTTGCGTAGTTTACTTAGAAGACACTGACGAAGACTGGATCCAGTGCTCATCCTGTCGTGGGTGGGTACATGAAGCATGTGCAGACATTCCAGAGTGTGGAGATGGCTTCATATGTGATCGATGCAGGTTATTTTGAAATGCCCGGTGCTAGGGGTTTGGCACAAATATTCGTCCGGTACTAGGTGCCACTTTTTAAAATTATATTTTTTGTTACCAAAGTTTGATTGATAGTATTAATTATTTTTAGCAGAGGTTGCATTTTTGTTAATTTAATTTGATTTCTAACTTTGTTATCTAATATGTCATAATTAAATAAACATTTCTTAAAATATTTTTTGTTTTATTTATAAGTAACCTTAGGTGTCCGCCACTAGGGGACTTCCCCCTACCAGGGTCATACTCAGAAAAAGTGTACATTTAAAATTTTGTAACTAAACTGATATGTAACGATACTGAGAATATTCGTAACGAAATTAATCTCATAAGATATAGTACTCATTAAACTAAGTACAAATTATATATTGAGCCAATAAAACACTTGTTTGGTTTAATTGGTCCTAGGTATTTGTATTAATTGAAATAATATTTAGACCAATCAAAATTATAATTTTCTAAAAAATTAACATCGGTGAATTAGATATAAAACTAGGAATAAATGGAATGTCAACAAATATTAATTTTTTCACACAGTATAATACCTCAATATAAAAAAACGTGATGTCGGAGGAATGTTCACGAGATCAAAATAAAGTGCAATAATTTATTAAAAGATATCGAAATTTGAGTAATTGTCACTCGCATCGCATTATGATTATTATTTTTAAATAAATATATATTATCATGGGTAGGAAAAAAATATTTCGATATGTGCCACGTTGGGCAACGCGGCAACACTACTTGCCCTAAAACCCTCTCAAAAATTAGGGGAGGCCTGTGCCCAGCAGTGGGTAGTATATAAGCTGTAACTTTACTTTTACTTTACTTTATGAGTAGGATCAATCTTATGCACTGACGAGACTCCTGGTGAAGCAAAATTAAAGTATCGTTGATTGTCTGGATACAATCTAATGTCCGATAAAATAGTGACTTTGTTTTTGAGTTTTGTTGTAAGGTCTGATGATAGCGAGTTACTTTTTTCATTAATATAGGGACTATTGTCACTTTCAGCATAAACGACTTCTTCACCAGTGTCAAAAGATTTGCTATCAAATGTTATACTCTTTTTACCTATCTTTGGTGGTTTATTCTCTTTTTCTCTTGTTACTTTTTAAATCTGTCAGACGTCAATTCTTAAACATCCCGAATATTAGATGTTCTTTTTATTTCCATTTCAACACTTTTTTTCCTATCATAATCTTCTTTCTTCCTTTAATTTTTCTATCATAATCTTCTTTCCTTTTTTTGAAAAATACAACTTTTGTTGAAATAAATATAAATTAGTTTTTTTTTACTTTAATTAAGTTTTACTTATTTATTAATTAAATTGATTTTATCGACTTGCTAGAAAAGAGTAAACACCACAACGACGTATTATAACGACATATGAAACGTTATTTAAGTAGTAGTAAATAATTACATACTTAATTGTTTTTGTGAACTAAGCTTAACAATTTCTCAGTTTAGTAACGTTACGCAATATAACGAAATTGAGAATAAAATCTGAGAAATTATAACCTCTAAAACTATTTCTACGTAAACCAAGTGTTGCACAAACACCGAATAAGTATATTAGTTATGATATTACAAAAAATAATAAAAGGCTTTAATTAGTAAACAAAAATTATAATAAACTTTCCAAAATAATAGCTGTTTATCACCCTGAGATAGTTTTTGTGAATACCCACGTGATAACAAATCTTGAGTCCACGGTTGCGACTTTCAGGTTATACAAAGGTACTTTGTGGTTGCGACTAAAACACAATGGCCGCGGCTGCAATATTTTGACGTAGTTACTAGTGTTGCCGGAATAGAAAAACATATTATTTCTACTATATTAAATAAATGCGTTCTTAATTTTACTACACGTTACCAAACCTGAGTAACGCAACGTTATAATTTTGGGACATTATTAATTTAATTAAAATAAATTATTTTTTAAATGACTGACGAATGAATTAGGTCGAGTTTAATTGCTTGATTCATCAGGAGTAATATGGCTATAGCCATGTTAAATAAAGCTTATTAATATTCGTAACAACTTGACTCTGAAAAAGTAAAATGGTCACTGGGAACGCTAAAAAAATTTTCGTTAGCATTTTTACAAAAATAATGATCTCAAAAAAATATTTCTTTACTAAAAATTAAAGTTAAAATACCAAAAAATTCTTCACATTAATAGACTAATATAACAACAAGGGGAATTGTTTTTTATCATATTTATAAACTTAGATATATATTTAAAGTATGAGTTCGCGGGACAAGAAAAGATAACAAATGTATATCTTTTCTGAGTATTACCCACCAGTGAAAATTTTTTTTAATTCGCAGTTTGTTAAAACTGATGGCTTCACGCTACAACTGGTTTGGCGTTTATGTGACGTTGTGATTGCTAGCCAGACTTGGTGGTTTCGGCAAATCCTTTCAACATGAGGAAAGTTGAAGTACACAGTCAATTGTTAAGCGCTGATGCTTAAGAAGACGCTACTTCTTGCAGACAGAATCAACAGAATAAAAAATAAAAAGCAGAATTGGATCGGTTCTGGGGCAAGACAACCCTTTCACAGAATATCAGCAGAATGCAGCAGAATAATGTTTGTGCTTCGTATGGTGAGTGTAGAAAACCGGAGACCCATTTCACCGGTAAAGAGGCATTCCACTTTAGTTTATTTTTATAGAATAAAAGTGATAAACGAGCACACAGTCAACCTGATGGTAAGTGTTTGCTGTGGCCGGACATTCTGTCCATGAGTCGCAGCATACACTTACCATCAGATTGACTGTGTGCTCGTTTGTCACCATATTCTATAGAATAAATATGTCTATAAAGGCCACAGTACCCACTTATAATCCGGTGAATAGTGTGCTCGTTTATCACTCTGTTATTCTATAAAAATAAACTAAAGTGGAATGCCCACTTACCAGTAAAACGGGTTTCCGGTTTTCTCTCACCATACGAAGGACAGACATTATTCTGCTGCATTCTGTGAAAGCGTCGACCTGCCCCAGAATGGATCGATTCGTGCTTTTTATTTTATGAAAGGTGTGCTCGCTTGTTACTCTTAGACATTAAATAAAATAAATAATAAATATATAGATCAATCAAAGTACGCTACGCGGTAAAACAATATTAAACATTTAAAACATGCAACTAAATTTATGCCGTACCCAACATAGAACCGAGAAGTCTACAGATGCGTTGTCACCTCCTATTATGATAAAATGCTCACGGCCTGTTATTGAACTGGCGCTCTTTCCTTTAAAATCCGAATAGCTGTTAATGCTTGGAGGTGGCAATAGTTAAGTGAGCGGTGAGCGGTGAGCGGCACCAACCCAGTTAGACACATAAAGCCGTGTCGGCTCGAAAGGGGTAACCAGACTGGAAATCCAGATTAAAATAACAGTTCAATGGTATTTTGTTTCGTATGGTGAGTGTTGAGAGATACGAGGCAATTCATCTTCGTCTTCAAGGGTAACAACACTGCATTTCAATTGTTAATCGGGTTAAATATAGATGTCTATGGGTCACAGTATCCACTTAACATCAGGCTTGAGTGCTTATTTGTCACCCTTATTAAAAAAACTATGGACAAAGATCTTATAACTTAATTAAACTACTATTTGCTCAAAGAAACAATTCTGTTACTTACGGCTCACTACTGCTGCCGAGTTGATTTTCTCTAATTGAATTACATTTCAAACATCAAACAGAATAATTTAATATCTAACAATAAATTAATGAAATTACGGTTAGTCTCGAGTGAAAATCCAATAAATGAAGACGAATCAAGAGTTTTACTGTTTGATGAAGTACATTTTTGAGTTCTTTTAAGTCTGTAGCTTTTTAATAATAATACACACACACATACACACACACACACACACACACACACACACACACACACACACACAAACACGCACGCACGCACACACACGCGCACGCACGCACACGCACACCAGCACACGCACACTCACGCACACACACGCACGCACATGCACGCACGCGCACACGCACGCACATGCACGCACACGCATGCACGCGCACACGCTCGCACACGCACGCACACGCACGCACGCGCACACACACGTGCACACGCGCGCACACGCACGCACACGCACGCGGACGCGCACGCGCACGCGCACGCGCACGCGCACTAACGCACGCACGCACGTACTTTTTAGTTATCGCTGGATAGGTTTCGCAGTCTGTTCATCTCATTCAACGCAGCATTGTTGCAAGGTCGTTTGCCGGTTAATTTCGAACAGTCTAGCTCTTCAATAGGAGACCTTCTAATGATTTTACCCTACTTAAGGCTACGTATGCTTGACCAGTAGCGAAAAGTTTCGATCGTAAGTATACAACGGCATGGTGGACATTACTACCCTTCATTTTGTGTACTTTGCAAGACCAACATGATATAATTGCCAGCATTCTTCGTTCTGCAGTGTCGTGACTATATTTTGCTGGAAATTGCCCAGTCTTGGGTTGAATGGGACGGATGGTATGTCCGTACCATACATGTGTGCTCTCCGGAAGCAGGGCCATATGATTTCTGTAATATATTCAATCGCACATGACCTTTGGACACATCTACATTGTAACACAACATCGTTTGGGCCCCAACGAATATTTATAACTCTTTAGGTAAATCTATGTTGTCATTTTTTCGAGTCCTGTGCTATTATTTTGTTAATAGTTACATCACCATTTCGGAATAGTTCGAGAACAGTTTTGTTGTGATTGTGTACTTGTTGGTTAGTGGGATAAATTCGCAAGGCCTTTTCAATCGCTAATTCGCCACCTTGTTTACTCATATTTTTTTCATTTCAATTAACTTATTATAACTAACATTATTATCCATTTCAATTAACGAGAAAGAACGCCATAGGTGTGTTGCTGAGACAAATCAAATCACAAACTTAATTTCCGCGTACAGGAGGTAACTACATTAATTCACCAAATACACAAATATTTATACCACCAAAGAGTAATTCATCGAATTTGAGTTGTTTAAGTCTGGAATCCACCATACAAAGCATTTCATATGGGACCATAGAAATATCATCAATAAATAAAAATTTAATGTATTGCCACTGTTGCCGCACCAAACGCAAGTAATTACCAGTAGAATAGGCATTTGCACTATTCTACCATCCTTTTGTACGAACCATTTTAGTGTAGAATGTAATATGAATCATCATAAGCGCGCTGCCACCACTGTATGAGGACGAACATTAACAACTTGCTTGCCGTAACACTCATTTATTTGATTTTTAAAAAAGTTAAAGACGAAGGTTTATCCAGTACCAGCGTTACCCGTTATGAACAACCTTAGACTCAACCAACCAAGCTCATCGCTTTGATCATTTAGCTGTTCCGAAATACTCTTTGCTATTGAATAAAAATGCATCCTTTTCTGCAACATTGATCGCTCTTCCAGCATTAAGATATTTTGTCATCGGTCATTTGCCGTTCTGGCATCTCCAACTATTCTTCAAAGTTTTCCTGTTGAGCTTCTTGATTCAAGACTTCAAAATCATAAATGTGGTTAAAAGCATTCTCCAGCTGTCTAAATATCTCCAAGCGTGCATTAGTTGTGCGGAAATCAGATTATTTGCCAGAAAAGCTTCTCTTGCTGTATCATAGTCAACGATTAATTCGCTCTCATTTCTATACGAAACATACTGAAGAAGTAAGCTATAGTTATAGTTTTCTTGATCACTGGTAGCCACAAAATATGGTATGCGTACGACGGTAGGAACAAGTATAATTAGTCGCTTCGATTCGAGGTTCAAAGAGCAGTGTTGCAAATTCCAGAAAGCACATATTATTAAAATCGAATTAGGGATGCTCTCGTTTTTCGTAACGTTCTATTATATTACTGCTGTATCCGGTAGCTGTCCCATTTGAATCAAATTGAAGGACCCTGTACCTCTGTTCTGGCTTTCTCGTGTTTAAAAAGGTACAATTTCTCGAGCTAACCCTGAAATTTAAATGACAGAGCCTATAAGCACATTCACACGCAGACACTTGCCTTTCGTTTAGTATCCGCATACATACTTTAAACAATTTACGCGATATGTCTGTTTCTTCACGCTGTATCTCGCGTATTGCCTGAGCTACACAACCATCAATTTGAGTAGGCTCAGATTTAGAAACATATTTGGCTATGTAAAATGCTATCGCTTCATTTGTCCCGCATGACTGAATATCCGTATTGGCATTCCAGACTTTTATAAGAGTTGGGTTATAATTATTATCCCACCCATGTTCTGGTCCTCGCTTAAATTCGTCTAATGAATGGGACATGAGACTAGTTTCAGCGCATTTTTTTCTCCGAAAACCAAACCTACATGTTGGTGATTTAGAACTGTTCTCATAGCAGGTAAGTGTATGTTTGTGTAATTGATTTTTCTTTACCAGATCGGGCATTTCAGATGTCTCAGGTGGTAGGTCACAACTACATACTTCATTAAGCTGTTGCAGCCCCTCTTTCGTTTCAAAAAATTCGTGACCTTCCACCGAAACTACCATGTGAACATGGGGGCTTCCACGATTCTGGAATTGGATTCTTCACCTGTAGTCTTTTATACGACTATTTAAAACTCGTTTGCTGTTTGTGCTTAACGAAACACAGTTCCAGGTTTGATTTCGGAGTTATCCTTCTACTAGACAGGTTGTTAACCAACGCTGTTGACGGCTACCTCGCCAAATGTGGTTTGATTTTGGAGTTATCCTTCTCCTAGTCAGGTTGCGAATCAATGCTGTTGACGCCTATTCCGCCAAATTACACAAGTGAAAGTTAACCAATCGATGCTACAGACTCGAACAACTCGAATCGAGGAGGAGCGGAGTTTATGATCACCTTCTTATTTTTGAAGTCAAACTTCTTTGCTGAGGGTCTAACATTTTGTTTATGCAACGATTTCGAGAGATCTTTACAAAGAATTATAGGTAGGAAGGTGGTGAGAGAGAAGTGATGCATGTCTACGTGTCAATGCATGAGTCAATATTTATGTTTCAAACACGCAGTCCAGAATTAATGATATTCTCTTAATACCCATACCGCAGACATTCATTTGATACCCATATTGTAGGAAAGCATATAAAATTTAGTCCTCCATCTTTATAAGTCTGCCATCTTTTTAAGTCCGCCATATTTGATTTAAAGTGACGTCACTTCATTTTTCGAGATGTTCTCAGCAAGCCCTTTCTATTTTCTTATTATATTATACCCGTATTGTAGGAGTGCATTAAGAATAACCATTCTGCCATCTTGGGTGTTCCGCCATGTTGAATTTAGAGTGACGTCGCTTTATTTTTTGAGTTACTCTCAGCAAGCCCATTTATTTGATACCCATATTGAATGGGTGTGTTGAAAATAACTAGTCTACCATCTTGGGCGTTCCGCCATGTTGGATTTCGAGTGACGTCACTTTATTTTTCGAATTATTCACAGCAAGCCATTTCATTTGGTACCCATATTGAAGTGTTTGATTAGAATGACGTCACACAGCTAACCATGCATTGTCATCCAAATTAAACGTGTGTACAAAATTTCAGATTAATCGGTTGGAGATATCTACTTCAAAATTGAGTTGCAAGATTCCAACGTAACTAACATACATACATACATTGCAAGTTAAATAAAGGCTTGTGAAAACGTTAACGGAGGCTAACTATGACATCGGGACGTCAAACACCTCAGTCGCCCAGGTGACCATGGTTGCTGTAATGTGCCCGAAATATCGTGAATAAAAAAAGGTAACATAAATGCGATAAAATCCGTAAAATTTGTTTCATTCCATGTGTAGTATTCGCATAAATATAAGAAAACATTAACAAAAACGTACTAAAATACCAGTAAAATCCTGTTTAATATCGCAGTTAACTCCGGACATATTTAATCTGTGACCCCTGAGCTTACCTCTTTTAAAATCCGTTTTTACATTCTATATTACAACGGGTCACTGCTGAAAAGTTTTCCGATTACATTTCAATTTAATGTAACCAGCTGTACTGTGTTTGCTTTTTTTGCGAGGCTAGTGCTTACCTTTTCAACTAAGTAATAAACACGTGCTGACTCCTCGGTGCTGCAGCCACGCTGCAGCTATGTTATGGCTGTAGCACGAATAGGTCGGCGCGACCCGGGGTAGGACCACGCTCTAACTGAATACCAACCTAGTGCGTTGGCGGTGTTTCGTATGGTGAGTGTAGAGAACCGGAGACCCTTTTTACTGGAAACGAGGCATTCCATTGCATTTTGATTCTTAAATAAAATCTCTTATTAAAAAAACCGATTAGAGGGCGTCCATAAATTACGTGAGGTGTTTTTTTAAATATTCTGTCCCTCCCTCCCCCCTAGTGAGATGTCACGAAATTTTCTTCAACCCCCTCCCCCATCCCCAAATCTCACGTGAGATTTTTCAAAGTGTGGGTTTCTTACGTAAACGCGTTGGATTGTTACTGTAAAAAGAAAAAAAATTAGCTTCGTGCTTTTATTTACGACTAGTTAAGAATAGTAATCAATATTGTCGAGAGTTATAAGTGTAATAAAATTTAACGATAGAATACTTAAATCGTGACTACTGTGATTAAAAAAAGAATATTTACTCTAATTCAGTCCATGGAGAATCATGCGCGGTCACAAGCGAGACTATTGGGCTACATATCCATATGATTTTCAGTAAAATCATCTGCTCCTTCAACTTCGTTCTGATCTAGCCACTCTGCGCTTGCGCGCAGTAACTCATTAGCATTAGTGACAATCCGTGAGGGTCGCACTTTGCGGAACATACGCGCTTGCTTGTGGGCTGCTCGCCTGAGCTCTGCAGGAGCTCTGCTGATCTTGTGATAGGTGCAAAGTAAATACCGCATGTACTGCAGCATCTTTTCTACAAATCTCTAAATCATCACTTCACATCATAATTTTATCACATCGTCCTGGCAGGACTTCTTCGTCTTATAGACATATCTTTTGACGTATGCGTTATACTAATCTTGACAACTCATTTTAAATTAGTAAGAGCATGCACTGAGTCGAGTAAAACATTTACAAGAATAAACAAGGCAGGTTGGAACCTGTCCGTGTGTCGCTGCCACTCAGCTCGTACGCTCTCGTTCATCGAGTCGCGCGTTCGGCTGACAGTGGCGCGAAAACAAAGAACGGGCTACACTGTGCCATAAATTCAGATTAAATTGAGCTATTTGGTATAAAACAAATACGGTGGTTTGACAGTTAGTAGATGTATAACGTCAAAGTATGAATGAAATTATTTTCTTTCGAACGAATTAATGAATGATCTTAATCGTATTACGATATATGCTTAAGATTAAATCTTAAACATGTACAATCTGGATTAAGTGGACCAAAATAGTATAATTTTTTTTGTTTCAATCAGAAAAAAAATTGCGTGATATTTGCCGAGACCCCCCCTCTCTCCAACGTAAGATTAGATGAGATTTGACACGACCCCCTCCCCCCTTAAACATCTCACGTATTTTATGGACGCCCCCCCTATGTGAAAAACACTTTTTTCGAAATTTTTCGTCATCGATTTCTCTTCAACGCATTAACTCATTTAAATTATTTTTTTTTTTTTATTTTTATAAAAAAAAATTTTTTTTTTAGAGTTTTCAGAGAGTTACATCCTCGTAAGAATAGTCAGAATAGCTTCCTAGGACCTCAAAACGTCGAGATCTGATATGACGTAGATCTGATCTGAAAACTGGGGTGAAACCAATAACCTCGCGATTTTTTGAAAATCATTGATTTTTATAGCGGGAAGTTAAAAAAAAACAAAAATGTTAACTGCAATTTCAAGTATAATAATATTATAATTTTAACACGCTTCTTGCCCATAATCTGAAATTTGCACGCTTGCGAAAAATCGAATAAAATGCAGCAATTTCTTGACTTACACATAATATTCTCATTCTCATTCACCGCAGCTGGTGATAATTTATTTAACTAGTTTTAATAATTTGTAACTCTAATTTTATTTTTAAATAGGTATTAGAAAACAGAAACTTTTAATAAAAAGTATAAGCCGATTTCAATGAACTTAAAAGATTTAAACAATTTCACATTTTGAAATCGGGGTCTTAATTCTTCTATACATTATGTCTTAGCACCGACTGTTTTTCATATTGCTCCCATCTTGGGCTGGGGCTCCCCAGTGCCAGCTCCTTCAATTTGATCGCATCCAGTGCGGAGCCGTTCGAATCGTCGGCGAGCGAGCTCTTTCCGATCGGCTTGACTTTAATGCTGCATCTTTTTTTACCACGAGGAATTGTTCGGATTAATTTCAGCCGCACAGTTTCACCATCGCACATCGCGACAAAACTCGCGAACCATCCATAGTATCTGGACTGTGCGATTTAGATGAAGTTTTCTTTCTCGTACCAATTCCATGTGGAATCGACTACCACCAGAGATTTTTCTGGACTGATACTACTTAGTGACCTTCAAGAAAATAGCCTACTCCTTTTAAAAAGGCCGGCAACGCATCTACAATTCCCCCTGGTGTTGCTGTTTCTGGGCGGCGGTGTCTTACCTCCGGTGGGCCGTACGCTCGTTTGCCCCCTATCCTATAGATATAAAAAATAATGCACTTAAAGATTAATTTTCTTAAACTTTTCTTCCAGCCGTGGCTTTAAAATTTCATGATACACGAGCAAAGTGAGTTGCACCCCGTCGGGCATGTATAAAATCATTAATCTCAATTTTAGTACTGATTTGTTACATTTTCGACGGTGACTGAATTGAAAAATTATTTACGGGGCATGTGAAGTCCCTACACGTAATAACTTAAAATCTTTCAAAAATGAGGGGTGGCTTGTCACGTTATGTAGTTTTAGGAATCAGTACCTCAAATAGAGAATATGGAACTCTTCAAGTACTACTTTGATGTCAGTCCCTACATCCATCCGTCCGTCTATACGGCTGTCAAGCCCCTTTGTCACCGGAACGTGTAGATATATATAAGGTTAAAATAAAATAAAAAGTTTTATTTAAATTATCAAATATTATAAGATATAGGTTCTCTGAAAAAAAAAAACATATTGATAAATACCAAAAATTAACAACTAAATCAAACGTAAGAACGAAACGACCACAGACACGAATAGTAAACAAGGCGTGGTCTATAACCTGACAAAACATACTCTGGACGACGCCACATTAAAAGTTTTAGGAAGAGGTTTTAATTATGCAATTACACCAAGCGAAGAATCCCGTATTAAGAAATTATCTGTTGTGTTGAGGATTGTCTGTATAAAAATAATATTGGTAATGAAGATTTAGAGGCCGTACGCCAAGACATTTCGTCTATGTTACGTCGAAGTACAGCGCCGAAATTAAATCTTCCCAAAAATGAATTTAACGCGTTAAGAGGATAGAGTAGGTCAGCTCAAATTCTAATTTCGCCCCCACTTCCCCGCGCGTCGTATGCTATGTACCGATATGTTTGTAATCACTAATACTGTAAGTAGAAAGGTCGTTAGACACTTACTTCATTAGGTTTATCATATATATGCCTGTTTCTTAACGCCAAGCCAGCCGCTTCTTATTTTTATCACGGTTATTTCCCATTTTAATTTTACGTCGTACTGTTGCGTAATGTATATTCTGATCGTAAGCGACACAACTTCTCCCTTCAAAAGCCTAAGCGATACTAACGGTGCGACAGGAATCAAGCTCAAGACGCCGATAGTTTAGGTAATTTCTTTTTACAGTGAAAATAATGGTATTTTAAAAAAAGTAAATAACATAAGCACTGCTTTATAGTTAGTTCAGTTAGTATGCAACACCATCTACTTGCTTGTAAAACTCTTCCTTCCACAATAGATAGACAGATGTAAGGCAATGTCTTAGTAGTACTGCATATTCTGGTGGCATGTTATTTTCATCTAGTTTCCTAGTTATAATTGAGATGCAGTCTTCAACAGGTAGGCATGTAAAAGGCAGTGCTTAACTGCTTTATAGTTAGTTCAGTTAGTACGCAAAGTTTCATGATCTTATTTAAAGTATTTTATGAATAACAGCGGTTTATTGTTTATTTTGGAGGTAACTTTGGATTTTTTTGTCTATCGAGAAAATTTTACGAAATCGTGTTTTCGTCTAACATAATCATTAACATTAATCCTCAACTTTACCATATATTTATTTTAAAATTAATGCTGCAATATTTTCGGCATAACGAAGGATCTTGCTAAACCATTTGACATTATATTTCCCATTAAAAACCTTACGCAACAGACCAGACCTTACGATTCTCCGCGCAGATAAAGGAAATGCTACGGTTGTAATGGATACGTCGGATTACAATTTTAAAATACAACAACTTTTGTCAGATGAAAGTGCGTACCGTAAGGTCAAAACAGACCCTACAACTAATACGCTTAAAACAACTAGCGATCTAATTAAGAAATACTCCGAGAAATTGAATCTAGACGTCAATTCGATGATACCTTCGTGTGCAAAACCTCCCAAGTTTTATGGGTTACCAAAAATACACAAACCTAACGCTCCATTACGTCCAATAGTGAGTCAAATCGATTCGCCAACGTACAGATTGGCTTAACACTTAGCCAAAATATTATCACCACTCAGAGGACACACAAGAGTACATACTAAGGATTCATACCATTTTGTCAGTGAGATAAAAGATCAACGTCTTGCTGACAATGAAACCATGGTCAGTTTTGATGTTCAGTTCAGTTCAGTTTATTTACATGCCTACCTGTTGAAAACTGCATCTCAATTATAACTAGGAAACTAGATGAAAATAACATGCCACCAGAATATGCAGTACTGCTAAGACATTGCCTTACATCTGGCTATCTATTGTGGAAGGAAGAGTTTTACAAGCAAGTAGATGGTGTTGCGATGGGCTCACCTGTATCTCCCATTGTCGCCGATATATTCATGGAAGACTTTGAGGAGAAAGCCCTCCTTACTGCACATGTTACCCCAAGGTTCTACAAGCGGTACGTAGACTATACTTTCACAATTTTATCATCAGACAAAGTAACTGCATTTTTAGAACATCTTAATTCCATAAGCCCTAAAATTCAATTTACTATGGAGTTAGAGGCAAATAATTACTTAGATTTCCTAGATGTGTTAGTCATCCGAAATCCTAACAACACCTTAGGTCATACTGTGTATAGAAAAAAGACCCATACAAACCGATACTTAAATGGTGAATCTCATCATCATCCTTCACAGTTAGCTACCGTGGGCAAATCTTTGTTTCAGAGAGCACGAGGGATCTGTGACAGCAAACACCTGGCCGCCGAGCTTCAGCACGTCAAGCAGGTTCTGCACCACAACAAGCTTCGGGTCTCGCGCCTCCGTCACAGTGACCGAGTGAAGCCGGCCACAGTCGAGCGTGTGCCTGCTATACTACCATATGTCAGAGGTGTCACAGACAAGATTGGCTACATCTTGAAGCGAGCTTCTATTAGAACATTCTACAAGCCGCCGAAGAAGATTAGTCAGTTCTTACCATCCGTCAAGTGTCATATTCCTCTACAAGATGCAGGAGTGTACAAGCTTGATTGTGATTGTGGTCTCTCATATATAGGGCAAACAAAGAGATCAATTAGAACCCGCGTAAAAGAACACATAGCTGACGTGAAGCATCAACGTTCCGGGAAGTCTGCAGTTTGCGATCTATTAGGAGGCCGATCCCGTTTGAGTTTAAAAAAAAAACACCAAATAAACCTAAAGGTTTATTGCAAAAAGTTCACACACCAAATTAATATAGTCCTTGACTTCCGAACTCTAATAAGTCTCGGAATCTATGTCCGATCTACCCGGGGCTCTGAGTCTAACTGATCATTAAAAATGGAATTAAAACGAACATGGAAAGAAACAATATAAC